ATGATGATGCATGATAATGATACATGATGATGATGATGATTAATGATAATGATAATGATAATGATAATGATAGTGATAGTGATAATGATGATGATAATGATAATTTATGATAATGATAATGAGAATGAGAATGAGAATAATAATGAGGATGAGAATGAGAAGTTGACGCTGCGCGCCGACGACGCCCGATTAGTTATCGATTAGTAATTCGTTATCGACTGAGTATTGATTTTTGGCCTACCTCCAGGTCTTCAAGGCCAGGGATCCGTAGACCAGTGCGAATCCAAGATAGTGAAACCACTGGAATAAAATACAGTTCATGGCTGTAGGATGACCAGGGAACAGAAAGGCGAACTAGAAAAGCAAAATAGTAAAGCTTATAGTAATGATGTACTTAATCTCACTGTCCGTGCTTATACTGGTTCTTTATAACACGCTGGATATTCTTCAATGAACTCGGAAGTAATATAAAGCTGAAGTGTTGGTGCTTTTTCTTTATCACTCATTTTCACCATATTTTGACCTTCGATCTTCCTAGCTATTGGAGTACGACTTTTCTGGGCCGCTGGCCAGAATTATCTTTAGTTTGCTTACCGTACGGACTTTGCTTGAGAGTTGCTCATGAGACACATTAGACACAAGAATATGCCTTTTTGGATACTGCTAAATCAATCTTAGTTCTCATGAGAATGACACGTGGTCTAAAATGGGAAAACCTTATGCAGGATGGGTATGGACCAAATCCACTTGGACAAATTTTTTCCCATTTCGGACCACGTGTCATTATCTTGAGAATAATATTTTTTGTTGCAGTCGTATCCATATTCATGTGTTTTCTCATGTGCAACCGTTAAACAAAGAAACGATACTCAAAGGAATGACAGTGGTTTGTAGTGGGTAAACAGTGGATTAGGGGGTGTATTGCTGGGTTTCACTCAGCTTATAAACGYTTTTGATTCCCATTATCTGCTCCCAATGGTGGTCAAACACTGACCACCATGTGCTGTCAACCAGAAAGAATTATATTGCTAGGTTTCAATCAACTGATTAAAGTCCTTGCATCTCATTATCTGCTCCAAATGGTGATCAAACACTGACCACCATGTGCTGTCAACCAGAAAGAATTCTATTGAAAACTTGTAATTCAGCTGATGAACATTCCGCACGAGACAGGTAATGACGTCAAGTGAAAGCCAGCAATAGACACGTGACGTAAAAGCAGCTCAATTTGGAGGACAAGACAAATAATTTTAATCTCCTGAGAATTGAAAACCCATTGTTGTGTCTTCTTAATCGAGCAGCATTCCGACGTACTGCAAGGGTTCTATTAGTTATCGTATCTTAGTTTTATTACACGCAAGTAAAGTTGAAGGTGAGATTTCCCTCGAAAACTGTCAACAACAGCGCTGTACGCAAAGATAGTTCCTTTCACAGTTCCCTGCGCCATCTTGAACGGTAGCCGTGCCTTTGCATCGAAGCGAGCTTGCAATGATAGAGACCTTTTTTTAACACCTTGAACAATTATTCACGTCTCTATCATTCATTGCAAGGTCACCGTTCGTCTCSCTTCGATGCAAAGGCACGGCTACCTATCAAGATGGCGCAGGCAAYATGTAAAAGGGACTATTGTACCCAGTGCTTTGACCGTATGGAATGTAATACTTACTGCAATGTACATAAAAATAGCACCAATAAGAATGATGATCAGGAACAGAGGACTCGACGACTGGAACACCTGAAGATAAGACACATAAAGTGAACTATATTAGACACGAAAGCCCCATCACCTTAAAACCTGCTCTGCTCACGCTGCTCTATTCTCATAAACTGTAAACGTGTCACTAGGTAATTATCATTATACTAATCTCTATTATCTCCATTTTCTAGTTGTTTTTTTTTGTTTTTGTTTTTTGTTTTTTTGTTGTTGTTTTTGTTTATTGTTACATCGTATAGCTGCTTATCTATTTTTTCAAGTTTTATAGTTTTTTTTCACTTTTCGTTTTCGAGGATCATGCGTTAATTAAAAGAGGTTAATTAAGTTACCCTCGTAAAATGAAGATTTAAATAAACTAATAAAAAAAATTAAATCACTGTAAAAAATCACTGTATAAATCGCGCGCGCACGCCATTTTACACGAGGACAATATTTGCGCAACAATCGTCGTTGTAAATCGTYTCGTTTAACAATACCTTCCAGCTGAGAGGTGACCGCGTAGCGCAAAGCATTAGTGGACAAAAATCTTAAAGAAATAAATTCTTTCCGCACGTAGTATCACACGAACGTGAGTTTACCTTGACGTCACGATTCAGTATCACAAGGACAACAAAGCCAAGCGCCATCAGCACAGCAACCCCATCAATGATCACAAGCAAGAACCTTGGTCCATGAAGGATCGAATACCGACAAGGTTTGTCATCAGTACATTCGGTACACCCTTCACTACACTTTATGCACTCGAAATTATCATCATAGTCGTTCTGTAAACCTTTGAGTTTCTTGTCGAATTCAGTCTCGATAATAGAGCCGTTGAACCTTTTCTCGGGGCCTGATGAAGGCGGGAAATAGTAGCCCTTGCGACAGGCGCACCAGTAGCTCCCGCGCTTGAATCCTTGGTTTGGGATTTTAACACACTGAAAAAACATCACAAAATATCAATACCCTGAAACAACCTCTGGGCTGATCTAAGTCAGGGCATTGCTAACTCACAGATTGAACCCTGAAACAACCTCTGGGCTGATCTAAGTCAGGGCATGCATGGCTAACTAACACAAGAAAACCCGTATAAAAGCCCGAAAAATCAAAGGATAAATTTCAAAATGGGAYTATTTTCTCTGGAAAGTAAACTAAATCAGTTTTTTTGACGTTAGTACCCAGTCCCTTGTCAGTGGAAACGGCCAGTAATGGCGCACAAAAGTCCCGTATATACAGCGCAAACTAACTAATCTAGATGAACGTTAAATCTCACCTTGGTAGAAGCCTTACAACGATGCGTGCCAAGAAAATCCTTGAGTTTGACGTGTTCATTAAAATGAACGGTGTTGTTCGCAAACCCTTTGGCCGTGTCTGTGTCGTCTCGATCACATTGATCGATGTCTACGTCATTCAAAGCTACATCAATACTAACAACACCCCTGGAAAACAACAAATTGGTTTATCAAACACAAATACAAGTCAAATCACATGGGACTGTGGACATTTTCAAAAATTACCGGCGTTTGCATTGCTACGCGGCCACCCCAGACAAAAATCGCGACGTGCACTTTGCAATAGACTGCCGTCAATCAAACAAGTTGACGTCATTTACACATGTTTGGATCGGCCCGGATAGGCTCGGTGAGTGTGGCTCATAATACTTGCAAACAATCGACCGAAGTTTTGGCGCCTTTTTAATCACACACGCGATTATATTTGAAATAAGGTTTTTGTTTATCTTATCTTATCTTCAAGATTTTAAATGCTCGAGCAGCTGTACGAATCAGAACTTTGCCATAAGCAAATATTACAATGAAACTGCCTCAAGCTAGAGAATTCCTTTGTCATCTTAGAGCGAAATCGCTAATAGTTTCAAGTGATTTCATTAAATTTTATCGTGCAGGTTGTCACTCTGTTTGCTGAACAAGATGCCCGATCGAGACACCGGAAATCAAACCACAAGCAACTATAAACAATAAAAATGAAAGTACGGGGAAAACGTGATTAAAATCAATAGCTCTGACATTATATCCAAGGTGGGGACAATTAAAAAACGACAGTGATTTGAGTAGTATGGAAAGGGCACGTACCAGTGCTGTGACACTTAAATGGCTTCCGTGTTCAAGCATTGTGATTGGACAGTGCGACGGAAGCCAATTGTCTGTCATGGTATCGTGCATTCCCACGAGCAAGGAAAAATTGTCAAAGAAAGCTTGCTGATTGTCTACACGAGCAATGAAAATTGTCAAGAATCGTATAATTTGCTGTTACGATAAAATAAAGTTTTGGTGGACGTCAATCAAAGTGTTTCTATGACAMAGAAGATAAACATARAGTTATCAAGGCCACGTGCCTATGCCAAGGCGTTTACATGACATATATATATATATATGTAAAATTAAATAAACTTCATTAAATAAAGATCATTGAATTCTCATTGATGTGCTCATAAACGTGTGCGCATGCGTCTGGAATATTAACGCGCGTGTCATTTTAATAAATGCTGTTAAATTCTCGGACGAGAATGAAATTTTTGTATTGTCTTTCCTTAATATATATATGTGTGTGTATATTGTATTATGCATTGCATACTATTCTAAATGCCGCTCATTCAATATTGCTCGTAGATATGTCAGTCTTATTCGGTTTTTAATGTTTTTTATTAGTATTTAGTGTTCGTAAAACGTTTATTTTGGATGAACTTTATACGGGACTCTTGCCCTGTTGTTCTTTCCCTCAACTAGTGTTTTTCTTAATATATTTTTAAATAAGTACTTGTTGTAAAGCTAAAAAAAAAATTAAAATAGATAATAGTCTTCTCATAGTGTTAAGAGTGCTCTCTCGTGGCACACCGCATGAAATATCCCACGCATCACTTGTATTTTCTAGTACACACAACAACCTTTCGGCGAGTGTGTATACAAAGAAAATTGTGACAAGTGGCAAGTGTTATATTTAACCAATTTCCTCCACTTTTCCTTTGGTTTGTCATCTTATTTACCACGATTTTCTTYATCTAGCTGTCAAAATGTTGTGGATCACAACATATTTTGACGGGTAGGTGACGAAAGAAGTGATAAATAAGATGACAAAATAAAGGAAAACTGGAGGAAATTGTTTGTTTTTTTATCACAAAAAAATAAAACTTTTACTACAAAAACTATTACCCCATTCACACCAAGGCTTAAACATGTTTTAAAGTGGTTTAACTAAACAGGTTTGGAAAACTATCTACGTACACTGCACAATATTTGGTGAAATAATGCATGTAAACTATCCTTTGTCTTGCTCTGATAATATTTTAGAAAGTTTCATTATATTGTAGGTTTCTAGTTTCTCAATTTTTTTCCTAATGAAAACATAGTTTAACTAAACACGTTTAGGTGTGAATGGGGTATATGTAATTTCAGGAACCCTGATGAAATCAAACGTCTTATCTTATTGTAAACAACCCCTGATTTAGATCAATCGAATCTCTTTGTACAACACGATCACCAGGACACCATACGTGACTATATTATTAGCACATCACAAGTACCTTCGCCGTCGGCTAAAAAGGCCTTATCGAAGTCTGCTATTCATTTCCTTTGCGAAGTGCTTTTAAAAATCTTTCGACAGGCAAGGTTATTAAAGAAGCCAAAAACAAGGAAAGATGTGAAATTGAAATTTGAAGAGGGGGTTTGAGAGTAAACTCTGCGGGATTCCAGAGAATGACCTTTGCAACTTGTTACACGTGGAACTGTTTTGTTTGCGTGCGCATCCAAATTTAAGGAACTTGCAGGGCCACGATGCCAGAACACGAGGTTTATGAGAATTATCATACATTTCTATTAGATTTTTCAATTAAAATTTATCAAATCGATTATGATCCTTTTTAAATATAAAACTGTCTTCTCAATTTTACTGAATTTGCGTTTTTCAGTTTTGTGGCCTGTCAAGTTGGATGCGCACGCAACCTTGAGAAAACGGTCCATATATTTGTATATATTTATAAGATGTTTGTTCTGATAGAATAGAATGGAATTGGTTGGAATGTAATGGCATAGAATGGAATAGAATGGAATAGAATGGAATGGAATAGAATGGAAT